AAATACCATTTCTGTTCATGGTTAGCAATGCCAGATAACACTTGCCAAGAAGTGCATAATACCATTAACAAGGTTACGGACAAACAGCTACAATGCAACTGACTTTTAATGTACCTATATAGACATACCTTATTTTATTGCACTTTGCTTTATTATGCATCACAGATAATTGCATTTTTTACAAATGGAAGGTTTGTAGCAACTTTGCATCAGACAAGTTTATTGGGACGACTTTTCCAATACCACCTGCTCACATTGTGTCTCTGTGTTATATTCTGGCAGTTTTTGCAGTATTTTGAACTTTTTTATTATCATTCTATTTCTTATGGGGATCTTTGGTGTTAACTATTGTAATTGTTTATTTGGAAGTGCCATGGACCATGCTTGTATAAGACAGTGAATTTAATAAATGTGTGTGTTCTGACTACTCCACTTCCCATTCCAACATCTCTCACCCCTCCTCATGGGCCTCCCTATTCCCTGAGCTAAACAATAGCAGAATTAGACCAACCAGTAACCCTAGAATGACCTCTGGAAGTGTTCAAGTGATCAAGAGAAAGGAAGAATCACATGTCTCTCACTTTAAATCAAAACTAGAAATGACTATGCTTAATGAGAAAGGTATTTCAAAAGTGGAGAAAGGCTGAAAGTTAGCCAAGTTGTGAATGCAAAGGAAAAGTTTTTGAAGGGAATTCAAAGTGTTACTCCAGTGAACACATAAATGTTATGAAAGCAAAACAGCATTGTTGCTGATGTGGAGAAAGTTTTACTGGTCTACAAGATCAAAACAGCCATAATACTGCCTTAAGCCAAAGCCTAATCCAGAGCAAGGCCCTAACTCTTGAACTCTATAAAGGCTCAGAGAGTTGAAGAAGCTGCAGAAGAAAAGTTTAAAGCTAGTAGAGGTTGGTTCATGAGGTTTAAGAAAAGAAACCATCTCTATAACATAAAAGTGCAAGGTCAAGCAGTAGGTGTTGATGTAGAAGCTGCAGTCAGTTATCCAGAAGACCTAGCTGAGATCACTGATGAAGGCAGATATGCTAGACAGCAAAGTCTTCATGTACACCAAACAGCCTTCTTTTGGAAGGAGATGCTGTCTGGGACATTCATAGCTAGAGAAAAGTTAATGCCTGGCTCCAAAAATTTGAAGGATAGGCTGACTCTTTTGTTACAGGCTAATGCAGCTGATGACCTTACGTTGAAGCCAGTGCTCATTTACTATCCTGAAAAACATAGGACCCTTAAGAATTATACTAAATCTATTCTTCCTGTGTTCTATAAATGGAACAACAAAGCCTGCAGGACAGCACATCTGTTCACAGCATGGTTTAGTGAATATTTTAAGCCCATTGTTGAGACCTACTCTTAGGGAAAAAAAGATGGCTTTCAAAATATGAATGCTTATTAACAATACTCCTGAGCACCCAAGGGCTCTGGGGGAGATGCTCAAGGAGACAAATATTGTTTTCATGCCTGCAAACACAACATCCATTCTGCAGCCCATCAAGGAGTAATTTCAAATTTCAAATCTTATTATTTAAGAAATACATTTTGTAAGGCAATAGCTTCCATAGATAGTAATTCCTCTGATAGATCTGAACAAAGTATCATGAAAACCTTCTGGAAAGGATTCACCATTTAGATGCCATTGAGAACATTCATGATTTGTGGAAGGATGTCAAAATATACATATCAATATTCACAGGAGTTTGGAAGAAGTCAATTCCAACACTCATGGATGACTTTGATGCATTTAAGACTTAAATGGAGGAAGTAACTGTTGGCTTGGTGTCAACAGCAAGAGAACTAGATTGAGAAATGGAGGCTGAAGATAAGACTTATTTGTTGCAATCTCATGATCACACTTGAACAAATGAGGAGCTGCTTCTTATAGATGAGCCAAGAAAGTAGTTTCTTAAGATGGAATCTACTCCTGGTAAAGATGTTGTGAACATTGTTGAAATAACAAGAAAGGATATTTAAAATCTTACATAAACTTGGTTGATAGAGCTGCCACAGAGTTTGAGAGAATTGATTCCAAAGAAGTTCTACTGTACGTACAAGGCATGCTAGAGAGAAATCTCATCTGTTGTAAGAGGAAGAATCAATTGATGCAGCAAACTTCATCATTGTCTTATATTTAAAAATTGCAGTAGCCACCACAACCTTCAGCAACCACCACCCTGCTCAGCCATCAACATCAAGGCAACACCTCTCACCAGCGAAAAGATTATGATTCGGTTAAGTCTCAGATGATCATGAGTGAGCATTTTTTAGCAATAAAGTATTTGTAGTTAAGACATATGCTTTTTTTTTAGACATAATTCAATTGCACACTTAATAAAGTTCAGTATAGTGTAAACATAAGTTATATATGCACTGAGAAACCAAAACATTTCATGTGATTTTATTTATTGAAATACTCACTTTTTTGTGCTGGTCTGGGACAAAATCCACAGTATTTCCAAGGTATACTTGTATGTTTAAAAAAAAGTTTTCATCATCAGGAAACTCTCATATTTAAAAAGTGAGACATTATACATTTTAGGAAATAGACTATAATTATCATTAAGTCTGATTAACTTGATAAATCGAGTTAAGCTAATTCATAGTTTCTCCTTGTTACATATAATTTCCACTGAATGTTAGGATTTATCTGATTATTTGTTACACATAATTTTCCTTTTAGGTATAGAAACATAAAACAAGGGGTAAAAAATCTTAGAAAGATAGAATTTTTTAATTGCTTCATTGATTTACTAAAAATTGTTTTTAAAAAAAAAACCTTTTGTTCTCATGTATTTATAGTGTGGGTGTGAAGGACCAATTGTATTACTATATAATATACAATATAAAATATACAACAATAATATATATAAAACACATTTATAGTTCTTAATAATAATCAAATGCTTTCATATATATAATCTTGATTCTCCTAGAACCTTTTGTTACAGTAGGTAAGGCAATAGAGAATCAAAGAATCTGACTTATTCAAGGTCTCATAAATGTAAATTTAAAAGCTGAAATAAAAATCTGGGCCTCTCCCACCCAGTCCACTGCTATTTCCATCCCATCATGTAGTAAAATTGAATTTCTATGATGAGTTGTAGAGAGTAGGTGAAGAGTACATTATTTTACAAGTCAATTTTGTAAGGCACTCATTCAGGTTTCTCAATATTCTTTATAATTTTAATGCGCTTACATTCTCACTTACGTATTATGTTAAGGAAATTTAGATAACATTAAAAAAAAGTGGAAAGGAAATTTCAAAACTGCTCCCTACTGTTCTTTTCAAGGCAGCTCAGTACTTTCATTTAAATAAGATTTTCATTTTTTAAACTCTTATTATAGAAAGCAGTACCAAAATTATGTTATTCATTTCATTTTCTAAGCTAAATCTTATTCAGAGGAAGACAGAGAAAATAGGAATGACAATATATTGGCGCTTTAAGGACAAAAGAAAAATCAATTGAGAAGTCTTGTCTTTGTCCATTTCCAACTCTCCTTCATTTCTGTCCCTTTTGCTGAGTAAAACACCTCAAATCATCCGAAACTCATTCCTACAAGATTTGTCTGTAGGCCTGAATTCATCTTTCTTTCTCTCCTAAGTATTCAGGTCTTCAAAAAACCCAGCTAACTCCACATTTATATTCTTATATAACAACTGTCCTGGAGAAGGAGGTTCATTCAAATAACCTTATTAATTAACTGAAGTACACAGATCTCAGATTTTTAAAAACATTTGTGTAGACCTGCCCCCAAAATTCAGCAAATGAACAACTGAGAATTGGTCCATTACAACTATAATTACAAATTATAATATTCCCAGTCTCCATCTGCCAGTTACGAATGCTTACTACATCATTATGTGGCAACTGTGGACCTCAGTTTTGAAAAAGGTTCTTAGAAGAATGTTTGGACTTTAGCATCTTTTGAAGAGTTGGTAGAATGAATTTATCATAGTGGTTTGATAGATCCAGAATGCGTATGTACCACATATGCAAAGCCTTATTCAATCACAGGCGTATGAAATTTATTGAGTAAATATATAATGAATGAATATTTCAAAGGAATTTGGGAATCCAAATACAGCCAGAAGAACCCAAGCCTTTCTCCAGCGACCTGGCCAACCAATCCAATCTTCCTGCCATGTTCAGTGGCAATCTCAAATCATCCAATCACCCTACATTCCTTCCTGATGGCTCTGTAACAGGAACCACACCATCTTTGGAATAGAGAAGAAACAAACAAGAAAAAGGGGATGGCACCTGTGGCTCAAAGGGGTAGGGCACCAGCCCCATATACCAGAGGTGGTGGGTTCAAACCCAGCCCCAGCCAAAAAAAAAAAGAAAAGAAAAAGGAGTGAGGAACCCTTAGAGCCTAGTGTTCCTTTTAAACCTGATTTTCTGATTTCCAATGTTTTGGCTCATTAAATAAGAAAAAAATAAATGTTTACAATTGTCGAAACACTTTGCATTTTCACTTATTCCAGACACAAACAACTTTCAAAGCAAAACCATAAGAAGGTATGTGGTGAACAGGGCCTGGTTACCAAAGGAGGTCACATAAAAATTAAAAAGCAAGCACTAAAGATAAATAGTAGTCCATACTGTCCAGGGGGATGAGCTATGCAACCCAAGTAAAAATTAAAACCAAATTGCATACACTAATCAGCTTTGCATAACACATCTGATTCATTTGCATACAATGCAATTATCCTGATAGGTGCTGAATGCAACACATCCAGCTGGGTTACTGCATCTCCAGGGAAGCTGTGCATTGGCTGTGTTCTCTTACAACTTTGATGGTAAGTAAACAATCACTCCCAGCACCTTTGGACTTTGAACATTTGAAATAAAAACAATACAGATCTTTGTATGGATAGCACAGCATTCAGGCCTCCTTAGAAGAGCAAGCAATAGGCTGATTCTGAGTCAGTCCTCCATCTTTGGAACATTCATCTGATTTATGTATCAGAAAGCCACATAGGTTATACACTATATAAAGAATTCTTCTTCATCTTTTTCTTCACCGTGGTCTTGCAGATGAAGGGGACATTTTGAGATTACCTTTTTTGTGTCAATGACCCTTTGACCAGCAAGTGACAAAGGATAGATGCTTTCCTTAAGGTCTCTGTTGTTTTTGGAGGGAGCCATGCCTAAGGAAGAGGCTGGCAGTGGCTGGCTACTCTGTAAACCCCTTGGAGATATGCTCAGAAAAGATTGCCTGGGTTTGGAACTGATGACAGTGAAGCCAGTGTCAACATTAGTCTCTTCCTCAAGCTTCTGAAAGCTGTTTTCCCAGCTGAAGACCTTCTTGGTGGCCCCAGATTTCAGATGCGGAGAAGGCAGATGTGGCTGGGCACTGCTAGGTGAGGTGCTGGCCTGGAATGACCAGCTAGGGCTTTTCCACAAAGTGCCACTAGGGCTGGCAGAGATTGGGCTCCCACTGTGGTCAGGAAGCTCCAGAGAACGCACCTGGAGCCTCCTGGCCCGGCTCCTCCGGCTCCTTGGTTGCGGGGTCTTCTTTGCAGGGACAAGAGGCAGGCTGGAGCCCTGCACAAGCATATCAGCTCCTGAGGTGCCATTCATGAGAGAAAGCTCTTCATTCCTAACACCAGCTCCGGAGCTCAACTGGACCTATGGAACAAAGACAGGAAGAACAAGTGAAACATGTTTTCCACTAACTAAGTGCCTCATTCACCCTCTGCCAGACCATGCTTACAGCAGACTTTCGGTAAAGGTGGTTGACATGAATAGAAGTGACAAGAACAACCCAAGTATGAGGTGTCTAATGAGCATCAGTTCTCATCTCGCTTAGGCTCCCTAAATTACGATTTGGGGGATCAAATGGCCACACTATCTGGTAGATCAAGTTGTTGAACAATGCAAAAATGTTAATGCAAAGATTTGAAGCTCACTTGGTGTTGTAAGCAATATACTACCAACTATGCAAAACAAAATCAATGAATCACAAAATGTGGTTATGGTCAAGAGAAGAATTGAAATAAGAATTCAGTCTCCAAAGCTAGCTTCTTTTAGACCATACTAAAAACAATATACATCTTGGGCCATTCTAAGACATATGAGTACTCCAGGACAATAATAATTTGGCACTGTTTTAAAATCAATAGTCTTGAAATTGTTGGGGCACCATTTATTTAAGGTAGAGTACTGGTATTGTACATGAAAACCAAAAAGCGGACTACTTATGAGCAAGCTCCGGTGTTTTGATTCCTAGCAAGTTTACTTAGGTTCCAAATTTACAGCAAGTTAAGCAAAACTCCCATGCAGCAGGTGACTGTCCTCCCTCTGCACAGATTGGATTTCAGTGACCCATGTTCCAGACTTGGACTTTTGGAAGCCTTACATTTTATCCCATGCACAACACTCTCCCCAGAAGCATTTCTGGAAAAGACAACTGTCTCTATCTCCTTAAGAGCTCTTTGAAATTGGTATTTGGGATCCATCCCTGCTTGGCCCAGGGATTTTGATTAATCAAATATCCAAAGGAATGGTACAGAAGAACTTAAATGTATATTACTGATTGAGAGAGGCCAATCTGAGAAAGCTACATAGTGTATGGTTCTAACTATGTGACATTCTGAAAGGGGCAAAACTACGGAGACAGTAAAAAGATCAGTAGTTGCCATGGGTTGGAGGGAGGGAGGCATGAACAGGCAGAGCAGCAGTGAATTTGCATTGGTCAAAACCTGGGAAATGCACCACACCAAGATGGAATTCTAAGGTAATTGACAGACTTTGGGTGACAACCATGTGTCAATGTGGGTTCACCACTTATACCAATGTACCACTGTGGCATTGATAATTGGAGAGGCTGTGTGTGCAGAGTTTGCGGTACCTGGGAAGTCTCTGTACTTTCTGCTTGATTTTTCTATAAACCAAACACTGCTTTTAAAAATAGCTATTTGCACCAGATTGTCCATGTCTGCTCAATTCATAATTGCTAAGTCATGGAAGAAGCCCGAGTGCCCATCGACCCATGAATGGATTAATAAATTGTGGTATATGTATACCGTGAAATACTATGCAGCCTTAAAAAAGATGGAGACTTGACCTCTTTTATGTTTACATGGATGGAGCTGGAAAATATTCTTCTTAGTTAAGTATCTCAAGAATGGAAGAAAAATATCCATTGTACTCAATACTTTTATGAAACCAATTTATAATTCCTCACACTTTCTTACGAAAAATAGATCACAACTATACCCCAGGATGAAGAAGAGAAGTAGAGGAGGATGGGAGGAGAGGAGGAGGTTCGATAGAGGGAGGGAAAACAGTGCAACCACACCTATGGAGCATATTGTAAGGGTATAAGTTAAATCTACCAAGTATAGAACATAAATGTCTTAACACAACAATTAAGTAAATGAGGTGAAAGTTATATTAATTAGTTTGAAGTAACCATTCCAAATTGTATTAATAAAAAGAATCAACACATTGTACCCCATGAAAGCATAAATGTATTCATGATCTATGTGTATATGACTCAATAAAAGGGAAAAAAAAAAAAGAGGAGGGAGGGAAACAGTAGATATTTATCTTACAAGGTTAAGAAGGCATAAATCAGGACACCGAGGAAGCAGGTGTAGAAATGAGTGAATCACTGCACACACTGACATAGTATTTGTGTAGATGACACACATGTGTGCTCTTTCAGTTTTCTCTCTGATGGAAATGGTGAGGTGACTATTACCAAATAGCAAAAGCAAACAAATAAAAAAACCAAACAAACAAAAACAAGAAAAAAAAAAAAAAAAGGACTTCCATTGATTCTTTTAGAATAGAAGTTGGCAGACATTTTCTGTGAAGCACTGTATAGTAAATATCTGAGGCTTTGCTGGCCATGTGGTCCTTGTCCCAACTACTCAATTCTGCCACAGAGCAGCCGCAGACTATACAAAAATGAATGACGTGGCTGTATTTCAATAATACTCTATTTATGAACACTGAAATTTGAATCTCATATAATTTTCATGTGTTGTAATTTTTCTTTAACCACTTAAAGTGGAAAACTATTCTTAGCTCCCCAGCCATAGCTGACCAACCCGTACTCAAGGTCATTCTCTTCTCATTCTCTCTCCCTCTTCCGTTCTCTCCTCCTCCCCATCTCCCTCTTTCCCCCTTCTCTCCCCTCAAGAATAAGAGGTTTTTTACAAACAAAAACCTACCTGGAAGCCCAAAATATGAAACGATGCAATTGGAGCTGCTCCAGCTGAAGATCAAGGGTAGCCCCTGCTTTCTGGATCACCCTTAGCCCCTCTCCCACTCCCAATGTGACTGCAGACCCCCTTTTCAGTCCCTTTGGCTTCTCAAACCCAAGTTTGAAACCACCACTCTAAATTCTACCCCTGGACCAATCCCTTTCACTAGAGAGCTAAGCTACTCAAACCCACTGCCCCATCACAGATGTGCTTCTGCTGTGCCTCACCTGAACAGGTGCCCAGCTCCTGCTGAGGATCACTTCTGCCCATGTCAGAAACTCACTCTAGAGGACACTGTCTAGAAGGCAACACAAGACACACCCTTTGTGCAAATTCACAGGAGCAGTGTGTGTTCCAAACTTTGCTGCACGGTGGAACCACCTGGGACCATTAAAAAACTTTCATGCCTGGCTTCCACCCCCAGATGTTAGGATTTCATTGGACCAGGATACGATCCAGGCATTGGCAATTTTTAAATCCCCCTGTGATTCTTAAGAAAAGGGAATGCCAACGTTTTTTAAGGAGAAGGCTAAGATCCTTAGACCATATGGCAAAAGTGAGTGCAACATTATTAACATAGAAATGCAGTTGTGTGCAGTTGGAATGAAGAATTTCCAGGAGAAACATAATGCAGAATGATTGAGATAAATCCCTTAAAGGGGAATCGAGCTTGCCAAAACACAAATTGAAAAGCATTCGTAGGCATGCTCATCATTTTGAATTCCTCTTTCTAAGAAATCTTTGTAAAATGTTATAAATTGAGAGTTACATTTCTCCAGTTCAAGGAACATTAGCAAGTGTCATTATTAACAGGAAGATTATCACTCATGACTCTAACCTCTCAACAAACAAGAGAAAATACATCATTAAAAAATGATTAAGCTGTTAAGGGGCAGACTCACATTATGAAGGGAAAATAGTATTATTTCTTACTAAAAGTGATTCCAAGAAGATAGCAAAAGAGGATTTCTCCAATACTGGAAAAAAAAAATGATTGCCTGGAAACAAATTTTGTGGACTCTAAGAAACACCAAACAGTGCCAGACTCATTTAAGAGTTGATACCAATCTTTTCCAACTAACTGATCCTTTCAAAGGTACTTATTTTAATCGACTGGTCCAAACCACTGATGCCAACCTGCTATTCTACAGAGCAGAAACCTCCCAAGTAATGCCTCCTTCACAGAAATGTGAGCCAAGATGCTCAGTAGAAGGGCGGTGTGTATGTGTCTGGCTGCATGAGGATGTCAGGAAGGCAATGGAGAATGAGAGGGGAGGAAAAGGAGGGAAAGGAAAGGGAGTGAACAGAATCCCAGGGAGTGCATCTGAAAGGCTCAGAAATGAGGAAGAAGAGCCCTTATGCAGGAGAGCATGGAAATACATTATTTACCTCCAGAAAGACTGTGTTCTCTTCTTCTAAATGGCTAACAGAGAACATAAGAATGAACATACTAAATATCTGTTGATGAAATGAAATATGTGCTTACTTGTGGCAACTGGCTTTTGGAGTACATACCTGTTTTAAAGAGATACATTTAGCTCCTGAGAACAAGTAGTCAATCAACAAATATTTCAGACGCAGCTGTCTGCTTAGGACTTGATTGGAAATAAACATTTCCAATAAACTACTGAAAAGAGAGGGAGAGTCATAAAGTCCGATGTTATATGACACATGAATGAGAAAACATAGGATCAGTTACTTGTTACAAAGATTCAGGTGTTAAATCTTCCAGGTAGGGATGGAAATGAATGTGCTCTTGAGTTCTACAGGAGGTTTCAAAGAGGAAGTGCAATTTTATCACAGCCTTACAGTTGGAGAATTGAAGAATAAGAGAAAGACATCTTGGGTGAAGAGTATGTGAGCACATATATACGTATAGTAGAATATTACTCTGCCACAGCAATGGATGAAATTCTAATATGATAAAGGTCATAGCATGGGTGAACCTGTAACACGTGCTTGGCAGAAATAAACCACGAAAAGACAAATATTATTGTGTGATTCCATTTACACAAGGGACACGTAATAGACAAGTTCATAGAGACAGAAAGTAGAATAGAGGTCTCCGAGGGCTGGAGGGAGGGGAGAATAATGGGTGTGGTTTAATGGGTACAGAGTTCTTGGCTGGGATGATGAAAAGGTTCTGGAAATCAATAACGGTGATACTTGCACATTATTGTAGATGTGCTTAATGCCACTGAATTGTAAACGTTGGTCAGGTGGTAAGTTGAATATGACATTCCTTTCAGCCCAATTTTAGAAAAGAAAGAAGCCTTCCTGAAAAATTTTTTAAAAGGTTTAAATTACAACGTTTGTCTCATATATATTTTAACACAATGAAGAATTAAAAGCAAAAGTGCAGGAGTGAACTTGGCGTTCTGGGAAGAACGGGAGAGTAACAGGCCAGTGTGGCCA